GTAGCTGATTACAGACTACCTTCTCAAGATCTCTTTGAAATAAAAGGCAATTTAGAGATAAGTCGATAATTTACCAGAACAGTAGGATCCAAAACTGGTTTCTTAAGTAGAGGCTGCAGAACTGCATGTTTCAGAGTTTTAGGAACAACGCCTGAGGACAAGCTACTATTTACAAGAGCAAGGACAGAAGGACCTATAGTAGAGAAAACTTCTTTAAATAAGTGACTAACGACCTCCTGCAATGATTGCAAGCTCACACATTTAAAGCTGTGGAAAACACCAGAACAACGCACCACAACTGAAGGATCATAAGAAGAGGTGATAATCTGGGCCCTAATAGAAGCAACTTTCTCATCAACAAAGTGTCAGAAGTTTTCACATGCAGCAGGTGGGGTCTCCATAAAGCCACTATGTGAATCATTTAGAACAGAGTTAAACATTTTGAATAGGATAGCAGGATTCTGACTATTTGATTCAATCAAACCTGACAGGTATTTTCTTTGGCTGCCTTTTGCAATCCTTTGATAACGGCGCCAGCATTACTTTAGTATTTGGAGAGACACCTGTAATTTGTCCTTTCTCCATTTGCGTTCTGCTCTGCGGCAGTCTCTCCTGGCAGCCCGAGTGACCTCATTTAACCAGTTCACGCTTGGATTTTGGAAGTCTAATTTTTAGTGGTGCCACCAAATCCAAGGCTGCTTTACTGGTAGAATAAAACCAGTTGCTGAGTTCCTCAGTGTTACTTCCCACTGCCTCTGGAATGGTTCATTTTGATTAAAAACAGAAGAAAACTAACCAGCAGTAGTAGTCCTTGCTCCTAGGTGGAGACCAGTTTAAAGTTTCACAGTTGTCCTGGTACCATGTCATGTCTCTGTCATTCAACTGCTGAGCCTGCCTGTCAGCATCTTGGCATGTTTGTCTGAGCTCGCTGCTGGACTCATGGAACTCTGAACCAGCCTTCACCCTCTGTGGATTCTTGGAACCCTGGATCTGTCTGTTCCTGTGTGAATCGGAACCCCTGACCAGGCTGTGGACTCCTGGATTCCAGCACTGTCCTGTCTGATCTGTTTTTTCTGACCTGCATTGGATTCCTGCCTGTTCACTGAGGTTGCAGCATCAGGGACACTCTGGGCGGCTCTGCACTGCAGCTCATTTGGCAGTCCATCGGCTGGATCCTGCCTTTCTAGGAGAAGATGGACTGAACTGTTAAACCAGATAACAGAGTCACATGGATAATCATGTTCCGTCAGAGATGTGGTCAGTTACCTGTATTTCTCCCCACCAGAGTGCTCCCCCCTGCAGCCACTGCGGTCCACAGCTCAGTGCTTCTGTTTGTCTTGTGTTAATAAACGTTTTGAACTTTCCCACTTTCTGTCTCACCTTGAATACTGGGTCCATCTGCTGCGTTTTCTGAAGACTAATGCCTTTTTAGCTGGGGTGGGCAGGTTAACAAACCCTCCTGTAACTGTAGCACTCTACCATCGCCAGCAGTTAAACTCCTTTTTAACAATAAACCAGCCACTTCAGTGTCTTTCACTCGGGCTTTCCAGCTCACCACAGTCACCTACAAAAACTGCCCTTGGCAAAGTTTTCAATAACATCGGTGCAAATATAGACTGTGGAGGAACCACATTGCTGATAAAATTGGACCTTAGTGCTGCAATAAACACTTTATTAGAGTGCCTGGCAAACTGGTTGGCCTTTCAGGTTTAAAGCTTGTTTGAAGGACCGAGACGTTTTTGTGCCAGAAGGTTTTTACATCAGAGACAAAAAAAAATCACGTGTTGTTCCCAAGGGTCCATCTTTGAAACGTACTTATTCAATATCTACAATCTCCCCCTCTGAATATAATAAACACAAGTTACCATAACTATGGAGATGATAAATACATACACATATACAATAATTTATTGTATATTGTAATATAAAATTTATATTACAATTTTACCCGGTTACTATGAACTCGGTCAAGCCCTGAGTCAATGCATAATAGTAATCAATGCAGGGATGTGAATGCATTTTCTTCAGCTAAATCAAAACAGAACTGAACTAATGACTTTTAAACCAAATAAAGAGCATTTCAACGTTAGCACAAAGCTTTAGTCTACAGCTAGAAAATAATCAGGCTTGATATCTTGGTGTTGTGATCGACTCAAGCCGAATCGAGCTGTCAGAGGAACATTAAGACGGTAACCAAACCTTT